TCACCCCAGTGTCAACCTCTCAATGTGATTTCAAAGGACAGTTCTATCTCTTCTCAGTTGAAATTCTGGCAATTAGTTTCTAAAGGTATGGCAATGATATACATGATTGTCATATCTAAGCTAATACTCTCTGTCATTAACTTTAATTATATCGCCTTATGGTCTTCCAGTATAATATTCTAAGATTTCTCTTTTATTGCCAAAGTTGACCTGCACATTTTAAAATTCTTGGCTTTGATCCCAAGGGTACAGACTGGGTACATTAACACTGTAGCTCCAGCTTAGATTCGAAATAGCTCCAATGGCAAAACCCAACCGATAAAAAGTACTGCCTATTGCTTTTTAGCTTTGATTATATTTTGAACACATAAAGAAAGTAATTTGGGTGCGAGCAAGGAGTTCAAGTCTTGTTTTAAAGTCGTAAAAGAGAAAATGCAGCAGCTCCTATAATTGTAAAAAGATATTTAGGCTTTCTGAAGTCCTCCTGACACTAAAGCGTGTGTGGACAATTTCAACATCGACATATTAAGTAGAAAGTACAGAGAGGACAGAGGCTGCTACAGGTCTCACCAGAGGATCCAAAGGAAACCAGAGCTGTGCTCGACCAACTGCTGCTCCGATGGGCGCCAATAAATGGGCCTGGCCCTGGGAGAACGGGCAGTCCAGTGCGCAACATGGCAGCGGGCACCGATACACCGCCAGTGGCTCTCAGCTTCAACTCCACCCAAACCCCCACTGACCAGAGGCCATCTTATCGTTCACCGCGGTGGCCGCCTCCAGTCTCATCCCAGCCGGGTGTGCAAAGGCTTCCCGGCGGGACTCGAAGGAATTCAGCGCAAAAATGCGTCTGGCTTGCAGCTAAGGAGGGCAGAAGGAAAAACCTGACTGGGATGCGTTTGTCCCCACAGGGCCCAGCCTTACCTCTGCCCTTGGTGTAGGGTGTAAGGCAGCGCCACCATCCCCACAAGAGCCACCCCGCTCCCTCCCCCCCCAAAATACCCAACCACAACAACAACAAAAAAAGAAGAAAGAAAAAAAAATAAAAAGGAGGAAAAGAGACACGCACCCCCACCCCCCCGCCGAAACTACATTTCCCAGGGTGCCTCCGGCTCCCCCGGCTTCCTGCCCCTCACATGACAGCTCCCTTGGCCGCGCCATGGCGGAAGCTGAGGAGAAGGTAGAGGCCGTGAGGGCACTGCCCCGCCGGAGGGGGCGAGGAGCGCGGACGGGAGCCGGGCGGGGGG